ATACGATGATGTACCTCAACCAAAGCAATCGGGAAAAATATTGAATCAAGAGTAAATCTGACCTTGAAATTGAAATGTAGTGAGTAAATAAATTTGGTTTAACGCTGCTTTGAACGGTATTTCAGTTACGAGTATATCACGGCGTGTCCGCATAGCCTTGGAGGAAAGCCAGAAGTGATGCAGGTCTTAAGCGTTTACCATTTTAGTGAAGCCCACGACCACAGGAATGGTGCTGACAAGTAAAAAACACAATTAAGGAATATTAGGATTCGAACCTATAATCATAGGTTTCTTGTATGGCAAAGGGACGTAACTCTGCACGGCGAGCCACGCACCTATGTCACCCATCTATCTCCAATGGTACGCGATTCATCGCCGGAATGATTCAGGTTGTTATTGGGTTGCTGCTAAAGAGGTTTTGTTCCCCACATTGTAGACCATTGATCAACTGCCGTGTGCATGTCAGACGCACTGGATCAACAGCAGGAAGTCGACGGTCGAGAAACGGGAGGGCAACGCGCATGTGCCAAAGGTCACTAATGTCAGAACTAGTTTGAAATAACTTTAAGTCACGAACCCTCTGTACACGACAAGCTTTCAAGATATTTCAAATTTAAAGCATTGAATTTGCATGGTTTCAATTCTAGACTCAATATGGGCCCCCGACAGTGAATAGTAGGGCTGTTACGATTCACTCGCATATTCGGTGAATCGAACCGTATCCATTCATGAATTGAATTCGTTATTCGTGGCCACTAGAATCGAATATTTATGAATATGCAATCATGTGCATTCACATACCCTGTACCTTAAAATATCCATAAGAACATATTATATGCATAGATTTCTTCAAAGATAACACTCATATAATATTTAAATTGACAGTATTGTGATCACTGGTCATTGTTGCATTTGAGCAGATACTAGTACCTGGATAAGTGCAGTATATTAATGTATAATATATTAATAGTTAACAAACGATGTCAAATAATTTTCGTTATCGTTTCACTGAATATAACAAATAATACATCAGCTGCTGACATCAGCTTGTGAATTAATATTCGTATTCGTTACCCTATATTCATGATATGAATCATATCCGCCTCATAGTGTATTCGTTGCAGCCCTAGTGAATAGTACCCTGTGTACAATAGTTTACCTTTAAGCGGGGGTTATCGTGGCCCAGTGGTTAAAGCCTGGGCTCATGCTAGTTGTCCAGTGGTAGTAGTTTTGGTTTGGTTTGTTGTTTTACGCCGCACTCAGCAATATTCCAGCTATATCACGGCGCTCTGTAAATAATCGACTCTGGACCAGACATTCCAGTGATTTACATTATGAACATCGATCCACGCAATTGGGATCGATGACATGCATCAACCAAGTCAGCGAGCCTGACCACCCGATCCCATTAGTCGCCGTTTACGACAAGCATAGTCGCCTTTTACGGCAAGCATGGGTTCCTGAAGACCTATTCTACCCCGGATCTTCACGTGTCCAGTAGTAGTAGTAGTAGTAGTAGTAGTAGAAGAAGAAGATGTAGTAGTAGTAGTAGTAGTAGTAGTAGAAGAAGATGTAGTAGTAATAGTAGTAGTAGTAGTAGTAGTAGTAGTAGTAGTAGTAGTAGTAGTAGAAGTTGTAGAAGTAGCGTACTAGTAGTAGTGTCAGTAGAAGTAGATAGTGTAGTTGCGTCCCTTAGTCGTGCACGAATCCGCTGAACGAGGTTTCGTTCACACATTTGCCATGATTAAGGTTCTGCATCACAGCCAGCAATCTGATCGAGAAAAGACTGAAAAGAAAGCAAGAATGCACCGAGGGTCAATGGATTCTAACAAGGCGGTCTGAAAGTTACCGAGTCGGTGCCAGATAAACCAGAGGTCTATATTATGAGCAACGATACACGCAATAACACGCAATAAACCACGTCACCGATCGTGCCCACCCGATCCAATATTTTGCCTCTTACGACCAGCATTCTAGGCTGGTGGGGACCACATCTGACCCTGAATCCCCACGGAGGCATGTACATTGAGGACACATTTACAGCAGCAGAGCTGTCAGAGGAAAGTGAGTGAGTGAGTGAGTATGGTTTTACGCCGCATTTAGCAATATTCCAGCAATATCACTGCGGGGGACATCAGAAACGGGCTTCACACATTGTACCCATGTCGGGATTCGAACCCGGGTCTTCGGCGTGACGAGCGAACGCTTTAACCACTAGGCTACCCCGACCGCCCCGTCAGAGGAAAGAGACAGACATATACTAATATAACTCATTAACTGCATGCGAGTGAATGGAATTTGAATGGACAAAAGGTGTTATTTATTAAACTTTAAACAAATTCGGGATATTTAGGGGTATGACTAGTTTAGAGATTTTCAAAATTCAGGATAGTTACAAGAAGGCCCGAATTTTGATAAATGTCTATGGTGAGACGTGTATGGTCGGAAAGTCGACATTGACGTCAAACCCACATGTTAACGTTATAGAACATTTGTCCTTATATTTGAAATTATTGAACTGGATAGTCTTGAAAAAAACCATTAACTGTAGTTTTTCTCTTTGGGAGAAAAGCCCACTTTTGACGTCATATCTAGTGAAAGCTAGAAACTGTTGATATTATCAAGCGTTAGCCGGGTGGATTGACGTTTTCAGCATCTTCTAAACGAAATGGTCGGTATCAAATTCTTAAGTGAGGTGAGGTGAAATGGGGTTTAGCGTCACGGCCAAGATGATTGCACTTATATCATCACGTTATTGTAAACACAGCGCTAGAATGAAATGTTCAAACTTGTTTCACCACTTTGGTGTTTACTTAGGTAGCGGTGAAAAGACTGATTATATAAAACTCACTGGCTGGTGTATTGCATTCACAGTTGTAAGAAGAACGTTTCATTATAGTGTCAATATGACAAATATGTTAAATAAGTTTCCTGAGAAAAAGCTAGTTTTAACAGCCCATGCACGTGGTTGCGGCAAAATTCAAGGTATAAAATTGCCGAGATGAGAAAAAACGTGTCTTGTAGTACAAAAACGAAAAGTACGGCAAAATCATAGGTGAGATATTAAATAATCAAAGCGACAAAACCCTTTCCATATCCAATAGAAAAATCTCCGCATAAAGCAGATTCCTTTGTATAATTTTTGACTACATCGTCAGCCTGTGCTTTATGAATCACCATCAAATAGTAATGATACCAGGTGCTCGCTAAAAGGTGATCCTATCCTGCCCCACCGGTGGCATCCGATACAAACACATGCAAAGGCAAATCAATTGTTCACCTGAAAAAAACATGGGAACATATTGTACACGTCAAAATAAAGAATAGCATCCGACATCATTTTTGTCACTGGTGCGTCAGATTTGGAAATGTCCTCCACATGTCTACCATAAAACGTTTTGAAAGCTTTACTGAGGCCCTGAATGATGTAACCAAACAACTTCCGAGCAAGAGTCGCGTGACGTTCTTTGAAATCTTGGTAGAAAGCTCATGCTCGATTGTATCTCAAATGTTGTGAAATGTAAACACCAAACCATAGTTAATCTGTCATGCCGCATATATGTTACAGGGAATATGTCAAATCAGGGAATATGTATAATCCCTGAAATTTTCACGGAATATATGTAATGTCTGATTCACGCAGGGGATATACATAATCCCTAAAATCTTCAGGTATTATACATATTCCCTGATTTAACAACACGTATTTAACATATTCCCTGAAACTGTTTCATTCATGGTTGTGAGAAGAATTATTCTCTCTGTTATCAATATAGCAATGTGAATGAGTTTCCCAGCCAGCTTTTGTATTTCTTATCGACCCGTGAAGATCCGGGGTAAAATAGGTCTTCAGCAACCCATGCTTGCCGTAAAAGGCGACTATGCTTGTCGTAAAAGGCGACTTACGGGATCGGGTGGTCAGACTCGCTGACTTGGTTAATGCATTTCATCGATCCCATTTGCGCGGATCGATGCTCATGATATTAATCACTGGATTGTCTGGTCCAGATTCGATTATTTACAGAGCGCCGTCATATAGCTGGAATATTGCTGAATGCGGCGTTAAACAACAAACAATCAATTGTATTTCTTATCAAAATGAAAGGGTTTGGTTGCTTTTTAAATGGATATTCAATGTAAAGCTCTTTGAAACAGTAATATAACGGGATATATCCGAGACTCCCATAACTTATATAGACGAGAATATCACCGGCAGATTACAAATACTACGGAAATGTGTAAGTGTTTATTCAGGAAAACTAGTCAATTTGCATTCTCCTCATAGCTTTTCATTGGCTGACCAATCCACACAAAGTGACACGTAGTTCACACATTCACAAATACCACCATCCACGTCTCCAATTTGTAAAATTCTAAATCAAACATAACAAGTACAATGAGGAGTTGTTATCAGGCAGCCTCGGGGACCGAGAGGTGTTTGACTTTACCTTTCACGAAGCAAGCGTCAGAGTTTTTGAAACTGTTTTGCCTTAAAACTTGCAGAGCTTAAGATTTTTACCTGCAAGAACAAAGTGCGTGTCAATTTCATCCTCATCAGAGCATTTACAGAGAATTTCACTGATGCTCACACATGAAGTCACGTGACATTCATTAAAACATGGATTTCAGAAAAAGAAAAGAGCAACACAGAAAGCAAATTAGAAAATAAAAAGACTTTATTATCATGACTATAAAATTGATAGTGTAAATGTTATAAATACTAAACAAAACAGTTAAGGATCCTAAAATATGTTTAGCGTATTCGACGTAATAAGCGACCCGCTCTGATAAGCGCCTTCGGCGATATTTGCTGATATATTGGCTAAACAATCCTAATTAGCACCCCTTCCGATTGATCAATGTACACAAGACTTATTTATTCGCGCATATGCACACTCGTGTGTTATATGCACCCTTAATTATGGGCAATTAAATTCTGGAAAAATATATCTGTTGTACATAAACATTTCAGGCTGTCACAATAAACCACGAAATTTATCTTTCCACCAAAATAATATTCTAATAAGAGCCCCCTATTTCTAATTTTCAGAGCTCCCTGGGCGCTTAATACGTCGAATACGGTATATACCGTACACATTTAAATAAACTCAGTTTTCACTACACAAACATATTCCTGCTCCCTCAACTTTTTGTTTAGTATACATCAATATGATTACATAGTATATGACTTTATACAGATGGACACACTTGATTATTACATTCGGAGATCATAAAAAAACTTATTAGGGTATATGACGACACGTATATCAAAATACACATGATATTATTACAGTTCCAATTTACATATAAAAAAATGATATAAAGGAAAATCTTTTTTTGTAAAATGAACGGACATGACGTCATTCACTTTGAAGCTGGTGTGACGAGGTTGACAGGAATATTGGCAACATGAGTTCCAGACAATGCTAGGAGATCACTACGTGTAGTTTGACCCATTATGTATATTGCTTTTTGTAGTCCATATTTACATCCTTGCTTTTGATGTTTCGGCGAATATATTTGATTCACTATAGAAATGTGACATATCCCTCGAAAATGCGGAACACGTGGCGAATCCAGGCCATCACTCGATATAACGATCCCTCAACAAGCCATAATACCCGAACAAGATATCTATTCTGAAATATTGCTATGAATTATTGTCCATCGAGAAAAAAACAATGTTATCAAGACATGTTGTTTTCCTTGTGACTATTTATCATGAAATATTAAACGAGGGAGATGTTTTCGACAACCCATATATAATTGTGAAGAAAGACATTTTGGTATTCCTCTCCTATATCAAGGGTTTTAAATTTCCTTTTAAAGTCTCGGTCGAAAATAATCGTATGAAGGGCAATTAGCGAAAGAAAGGGAGTGAGTGAGTGAGTTGGGTTTAGCGCCGCTTTTAACAGTATTCCAGTTATATCGCCGCGTGTCAGCTTAATGTGGGAAGAAAGCCCGAAGTGATGCAGGTCTCAGACGTTTACCACTTCAGTGAAACCCACGAGCACGGATATGGTGCTGACAAACCTAGAAACATAATTGGGGTGAACCTGGATTCGAACCCACAATCATAGGATTCTGGCGTACCCAAGGGACGCAACTCTGCACAACGTATCGCGGCGCCTTAGACGATTGGGCCACCCGTGCCCCCTCGAAAGAAAGGGACAACTATTACGTCTGAATTACAAGTTATTTATTCGTCCTCAGGGAAACAGCATTTGACAAGAATACATAGGAAATTCATTGTCCAGAAACATGGATTGAGTACTGGATCGACACGTGTCCACTGGGTTTCAATTCGGCCCCAATTGGATACTCAATATGTCCTTCGCGATGGTGTGAATATCCCCTGGAGTCGACACCATGTCCTCTAGGATTCCATGTATGTCCTCGAGGATTCAATACATGTATCTCTGAATTAGTCGCGTGTGTGCGTGGATTCAACGAATGTTTTGAGGGATTTGCCACACCGACTCTTGGTCTGAATAGACGTACGTTGGGACTCATGTAGATTCTAGGGTTCCTGGGATATGCAATGTCATTGCCTGGAAAGAGCAAAGTGTGGAATATTTCTTGAATCAACAATTCTACTGTATACTAGCCTACTACAATCTGCAGAGGTGGTATAGATCTGTGACTGAGTTTACAATGCAACACATTACTCTATGTAACAAATGTTATATTTTGGATAACACTTTCTTAGTAAAGTACAGATTCTCGTACTTTTTTGAGTCCCGTCCGGGATTCGAACCCACACTTGCCAGAGTGAGGCACGTAATCGCCAGCACACAAAGTCAGAGATCTAACCCACTCAGCCACCGAGGCTTCCACAAAAATGAAAGTCCGACAAATGGTAGTCTAGATCACGTACTTTGAGTACCCCTCTGACAAGTGTAAATTGGCACGGCTCCCATGGCCGAAAGCTATGAACACACAATGCCATTTAGAAAGTTCGAACCCACACTTGCCAGGCGGGACTCAACCCAAAAAGGTACGAGAATCTGTACTTTACTAAGAAAGTGTTATCCCAAATATAACATTTGTTACATCTGACCACTTTCTAAATGGCATTGTGTATTCACATTACTCTATGTTCATATGTAACTAAGAGGGTTCTCAATATGGCTGCATCGTTTTGGATATTGGACATCAGTTTAAATCCGGAAAGATATACGTCAACATCTGTCCACCATTTTAACTTCATGATGCTGGCATCAGTCACATCTCGTATTTGGTCCAAAAAGAAACCATTTAGCATACGGTATGGTTATCTGAACATAAAGCCTGTGTAATATCACAAGGACCTCTAAAGTTGACCTTGCTCACGGTCAAGGCCACAAGGTCATCACAAACGTAGCACCCATGACTATCTAACGTGGTTTGTGACTACACGAGAAACAAATTAATGGTGATACAGTTTCCTGAAGCCATTCTTTTCCTTTCATGATTTGTACAAAACATTTTGACACTTTGATTATTGTAAACCGTCTTGCACTCATTTGAAAGGGCGTGTTTTTTGTCAGGGCGTGTAACGTCTCAGTGTATTGGTTCTACGTGGAAGGCAACAAGTACTGGAATTATCACACTCATCACTGTACCCAAATATCTGATGGTCCCAGACGTGCTTGACGCAGTTGCCGGAGATCGACCTTGCTCTTGACCTCGACCTTTGTCGTTTTGACCTTGACCTTGACCTCTGTTAGTTGACCAGAAATTAGGGTCAGTGGTGGTCGGGGTGTCAGCATTGCGTGGGAAGCGATCCAATGCCTCTGGGACGAAGGAATTCCAGAACCTCATTCTATCTGGCCAAAGATCCCGCAGAGCTTGAATAGTGGGTCCGAGGTTAACGTAGTCTTTCCTGGGGACGTCGAACTGTTCCCACTGAAGCCGCTCAGACTCGGGGGAGCCGTTAGGATTACTGTTAAGATGTATGATGTAACAAGTAAGAACAAACAACACAATTTGACACCAATATACTGAGGGTTAATGCAAAACATTAAGTAGGGGCCATTTTCCAAATATATACGGCATAGATAATACATCAAATCCTGCAGATTAGAGGGTGTTACAGCAACTTAACAATGAAACATCAACAACTACAGATCGCCAGCCTACGACAGACGTTACAGAGATCTCAGAAACGCTGTTCTAGACCTCGTAAAGATTGCATGTTATAGGGTAAAGTCTGTCTCACAGTCCCTGAACCATATTATTTTCCCTTTCGCCCTGACCTTACTGTAATGCTATAATCCTGAATGAAGCAAGTCTAGATTTTGAATCTCTAAGCGCACCTCTTGACTTTAAATGGAGTTGTTTGTTTCTATCAAAAATATATATGAGCGTTAATCTAGGGTCTGTCCGGTACACCATGATTCAAATGTTATCTAGTATAAATGTATAAGTGAACCGACAGAGCAATATTGGTTCAATAGGAATGATGCTCCTCTACAAATCTCCTGCTATTTCTACCTCTCTCTCGTACACATTTATTTGTTGCAAAGGCTACACGATAACATCAAGATGGGAACCGTCAGTCAATTCAAGAGGTATTCAAAATCCTATCTGCTTAAATAGTATGTCTCTAGATAAAGGGGTGCGGTCGAGTAGCCTAATGGTTAAAGCGTTCGCCCGTCACGCCGAAGACCCGGGTTCGATTCCTGCCATGGGTACAATGTGTGAAGCCCATTTCTGGTGTCCCCCGCCATGATATTGCTGGAATATTGCTAAACGCGGCGTAAAACCATACTCACTCACTCACTCTAGATAAAGGGGGCACGGGTCGCCAAGTCGTCTAAGCCGCTTTGCAGAGTTGCGTCTCTTGGCAACCAAAGACACCAATGACTGTGGGGAAGTTTCTAAGTTTATCAGCACCATACCCGTGCAAATGGGTTTCACCAAAGTTTTAAACGTCTGACACCATCACTTCGGGCTTCCCTCCCACATTAAACAGACACGCCGTGATATAACTGGAATACCGTTAAAAGCGGCGTCAATCACATCTCACCTATTCTCTAGATAAAAGTATAAAAGTATAAGTGTAAACGCACATACCCAAATTTGGCGAAGTTGGACCAGTACTTCATCATCTGTAGCGACAGAGCCGGGTTGATGACCCGTCTCCCAAACACATACGCCAGTTCAGCTCCATGCCCGGCCCCCACAAACCACCTCGGTGAGGCGGTAGGGCGGGGCTGCTGCGAGAACAGATACAGGTAGGTGGAGCGGCCATTCTTGTTGCGAGCGTGCATGATGGTTGACATGACAGTAGGCGCGACGAACATCATATCTCCGTATAGATTCACTACATTACGACCTTGTTCTGCAATGCCTCCGGTAGTGGAGTACAGATTGCACATTCTTTCGGCGATTTCCGTAGATCGGTTGTAATAGTCGTTGGCCAAGCTTGGAGCTATATTTTTGCAAAGGACTCTGGTTGGGATGCCTTCGTTGACACTGAAGTTCAAATTCCGCTGGAAGTTCCGGAGTGGCCAAAAGACGAGACTGCCCTCGGCGTTATTGGCCCCCGCCATGAAGTCTATATCTGGCATAGGGTTGTAGAAATGCGTATTCTCTCGGCTTATTAGGAACTCGGGACGTCTTGGGATCAGTTCTCCGTCTACGGTTGGAGCAATCTCCAGTCTCCAGACAAGCTCACTTGGTCGTCTGGCTTGAGCTGAAGCCTGGAGGATCTCGTTGGTGTTCCTCCGCCTGAGACACGCCATGAAGGAGGTGGTGTTGAGACTGCCGTCCCCGTTTAACGTCGTGCATCTCAGGTTGTCGCTGACCCTCCTGGTGAAGTTGACGGGGTCGAAGGCTATGGCTCTTGGGCTGAGGCCGACCCCACTCTCACATATAACCCTCTGGAAGAGACCCTGGCTCAAGGGGGACAGGGCGTGGAGGCCAACGCTGTATCCGCCCCCAGACTCCCCAAATATGGTCATACTGTTTGGGTTGCCTCCAAACGCGGCGATGTTGTCTCTGATGAACCTCATCGCCATCTGCTGATCCCACAGACCGTAGTTCCCCAAGGAGCTACCGTCTCCAGTGCTAAGAAACCCGAACACATCCAGTCTATAGTTTACAGTAACCACTATCACATCGCCAGTGATAGCAAGATTGGAGCCATCAAACGACATACCTTGCCCACTGACGAAGCCACCTCCGTGGATCCAGATCATCACTGATTTTGTAGCGTTAGGGGCAAGTGTTCTTGGAACATATATGTTCAGCAAGAGGCAGTCTTCGGTTGTCGCCCTGTTGGGGAGGAACTGAGTGTTACCCAGTTGAGCACAAGAAGGACCAAATCTGGAAGCGTCAAGGGTTCCTGTCCATCTGCCCCTAGGGACGGGTTTCTTGAAACGAAGACGCCCAATAGGTGCCACGGCATACCTTACGCCTAGAAATTGGTAGACGAACTCGTTTCCAAACCTCCGAACTCTTCCAAACATTCGTCCAAGGTTTGTCGTGACTGTTGGGTCACCTTGACCCAGAGTCGTTGTGAAGGTCATGGCGATAAACAAAAGGACCCGTATGACTGAAAACCACCTCATCTTGAAGCGTAGTATTATGCTTATAACTCCTGAAAAATGAAGGGCGTAGTGATTAGTATGTTAAAAATTGTTCGTCAAATTATTTATATGTTGTATGTGTTTTCCGTGTATGTTTTTAACTGATCTAGTTGGAATGTGGTCTGGATAATGTTGTCATAGTTTCAACATCCCCGGCTGCGTCATTCCAAAAGACGCTAAAAAAATGAAACTTGATGTTACCCTGCCTGGCGCTCGGCATTAAGGGGATAAAACAAGGACAGGTCAGTTAGGAGTCAGTATACTGTGTTCGATTCGGATATCCGTGTTGGGTAAACTGCGGCATGGTATCTCAATTGGCTATAAATCCGACATTAGTCGGACTAGTACAAGCAGCCACACACACACACACACACACACACACACACGCGCGCGCGCGCGCTATATTATATATGCAAAAAATCTTGAACGCGACGTTAAGCCTAATTTCACTTGGGTTTTCGGCAAAAGGGAACCATTAGGTGTGCCATCGTCCCTGGAATAATTGAATGCCTGTGTCGATTTCACGTTTATCACCTCATCTGAAGACAAACGATCCATCAAATTTTTGCAGGGAAAAACCTCATGTTTGAAAAAAACTGTTTCCTTCGTTCAGAAAAAACAGTTCAAATCTAAACATTGAAACGGAACTGTTTGTCCGCGTTCTATTTCACACAAATGCAGGTCCCTGTGTTATTTTTGCTGGTTTCAAAGAAAACGTAAATTCTTGACAGGGAAATACTGAACATAGGTTGAGACAGTCGTGAGGATCCTGACAATTCAGGCCTGGATTTGCGCACTGACGTCACAAGTTAAAACAAGAGACACGACATTAGAGCAAAGTGTTGCGAAAAGGCCGAAGGTCACTCGGGTCCACTCGGAGGGCAGGCCAGAGGTCCAGGTGTTGACCTACGGATCACAGGTAATCGGCCAATGATTGCTTAGTTAGCTCGTAAGATGGGATGCCAGCGCTGGCGTTAAACGAATGCATTTTCTTGGGAAAATATCGTATTAGCTGGCCCAACCAAAAGCCCTCTTCAACGCCTGACATGTGTTTCCATACAACACCCATGTAGAAAATATTAACCCGGTTAAGAAAATTATCTCTGCTATATATAGAGTGGTATTTTTGTTGAAGTTGGACTGATGTGTGGTTGTACGACATGTTGTTATTGTTGTTGCCCTAATTTAAACAACACAAAGCCCAGTGCAGTGGCTCTCTTCATATTTTTAACGCAGGAGATATGGGGAACAATATCCGTGCTTTTGAAATTGTTGCGGGATTATCCTTTGGGCTTATCCTTAAGTTGCTTGTGGTTGGTGTGTTATTTTATCGACGTTACTGCTCATGTGACAAGGAAGACAAAAAGGTTTGTGGTTGAAGGATTTTTTTCACTAGTTGATCGGGACCCGTGATGATCCGGGGTAGAATAGGTCTTCAGCAACAATGCTTGCCGTAAAGGCGACCATGCTTGTCTTAAGAGGCGACTAACGGGATCGGGTGGTCAGGCTCGCTGACTTGGTTCATGCATGTCATCGTATCCCAGTTGCGTTGATCGATGCTCATGATGACAATCACTGGATTGTCTGGTCCAGACTCGATTATTTACAGCCCGCCGTCATATAGCTGGAATATTGCTGAGTGTGGCGTTAAACAACAAACAAAGCAAACACGACTACATGATTGAAAATTCAAAACGTTAACGCCGGAAAACAATCACTCTCGGCCACCTGGGGAAACAGATATCATTGGGTGTGAAAGGTGTTCGCGAAAGGTTAAGCATATCCTGCTCTACCGTTAATGCACCTTCTCTCCGCACAATTTTCGTAAAATATGTGTTTTTTGTTGCCTAGTCTTGTTATGATGAATTATACTGAACAGTTCCTTCGGCTATATTGTCATGACTTCTGTCATTAAGTCGCTGATCGGATTTGTTATGAAAATATTCGCCCAGGTAGCCTAGTGGTAATAACGTTGGCCTGCCGGAAGGTCGGGTTTGATTCTCAATACGGGAACAATGTGTGAAGCCCATTTATTGGGTCACTGGTCGTGATTTGCTGAATATTGTAAACAGGAGTTTTTAAACCAAACTCACTGACTATTGTGATTGTTTAAACTAATATTGACATAAAGCAAATATGATTTTCTTGGAAGGCGTAATAAAAATGTACAATTAAATATGAAATAGTTATACTGTTTAACTCGATTTTGGGGCCGTGGCGTAGTCTAGTGGTTAAAGCGCTTGTTTTCCTGGCTGAAGGACTGGGTTCGGTTCCCCACATGGGTACAATGTGTGAAGCCGATTTCTGGTGGACACCGCCGTGGTATTGTTTGAATATTACTAAAAGTGGCGTAAAACCATACTCACTCATGCACGTATTCGATTTAAAGTTTCTAATGCGCTGATATCGGATCCAAAAACAGTAGAGGAGAGGGGGCACGGGTGGCCCTGTCGTCTCAGGCGCCGCGATTCGCTGTGCAGAGTTGCGTCCCTTGGGCACGCCAGAAAACTATGATTGTGGGTTCGAATTCCGGTTCGCCCCGATTATGTTTCTAGGTTTGTCAGCACCATACCCGTGCTCGTGGGTTTCACTGAAGTGGTAAACGTCTAAGACCTGCATCACTTCGGGCTTTCCTCCCACATTAAGCTAACACGCCGTGATATAACTGGAATACTGTTAAAAGCGGCGTTAAACCAGACTCACTCACTCACTCAGTGGAGGAGAGTGTCCCTCGTCGTCCTAACGGTATTTAAGTAACGGATTAGCATGGGTGTGGGGTTTGCACCAACAGCATGGATCCAATTGATGTACGGGACTCAAGCAGACATCAGTGAAATACACAGAAAAGCATAACATTCTAACGGAATGGAACTTTATACTTGTGATACGCATACACCACATCTTCCCGAGGCAGGAGATTTAACTGACTTTTAAAGTCCAGTTTCCACCCTTGCCGAACTAGGCTGGAATTCCTGGGCTCGATCGTAGCGCCACCAGTGGCTATTACGAGTTATGTCCCTTCCATGCCTCTCCTATGGACCAATCAGATTCCTCCTCTCGTATCACTTGCATTTGCTTGAAACAAAACGGCGGCGGCCAGTCAAGACAATCTGATCAATAATCAAGATCTATATATTGTGATAAAACGAGTCTTACATCGTGCTCAAATCACGTGAGCACCTTGATTAAAACCATGAAATGATTTGGAAAATATCTGTTGACAACGAGTTAGCGGTGCACATGCTTTGCAAATCCTGCAGTCGACCGAAATCTGCATGACAGTATACAGTATACAGTATTTCATTTTTCAATATAACAGAAGAAAATACATTGTGTTGGGATAATGACATCATTTACTCCAGTCATGAGTAAGGGAATGAGTATGGTTTTACGCCGTTTTTAGCAATATTCCAGCAATATCACGGCGGGGGACACCAGAAATGGGCTTCACACAGTGTACCCATGTCGGGAATCGAACCCGGGTCTTCGGCTTGACGAGCGAACGCTTTAACCACTAGGCTACCCGACCGCCCCAGTACGAGAGTGAGTTAATGTAACGCCGCTTTGAGTAATATTTCTGCTGCATCACGTTACGTCAGCATAATGGCTGTGGGAAGCCTAGATGACTCAGGCCAGTGACGTTTGGTGAGGTGAGGTGAGGTGAAATGGGGTTTAACGTCACGTCCAAGATTATTGCACTTATACAGCGACGTGCATGCATGTGTGTGTGGCTGCTTGCACTAGTCCGGACTGATGCCGATTTATAGTGCTAGCACACTGAGATACCATGCCGCAGTTCAACATGAATGCCCCACTCAGACACAGTATACTGACTCCGAGCCAACCATGCAGTCCTTGTTTTAGCCCCTTAATGCCGAGCGCCAGACAGGGTAACAACAAGTACCATCTGTTAACGTCTTTTGGTATGTCGCGGCCGGGAATCGAACCCCGAAACTTCCGCTCTCCGGGCGGACACTCTATCACTAGACCAAGGAGGCTGTCGAAACGCACGGGCATATGACACAACAAAGTATGAATAAAGATTTTTTTAAATTAAACTAGATCTGCGATAAAGTATAATTTGAAAATAAACTGTCAGGCAAAAGAAAGTATCTCCTTGAAAAATGTTTTTGACCAAAAATATTACATATGTTATCAAAACGTTACTAGGCTGAAAACTGTCGCCGAGACAGTACAAGCTTGAGATTGAAAACACAACTATGACACACATATCAAAATACATCCCCATTGAATAATTATTTCTTGTTTGTTTCATTTTAGCCACCATCAAACATGGGTGTATACTTTCTCTTACCCGGCAGGTTAGCTTTGTCATGTTTGTTGGTTTGTTGTTTAACGCAGCACTATTCCAGCTATATGAGTGAGGCCTGTAAATAATCGAGTCGGGACCAGACAAGCCAGTGAATGTTGTTATGAGCAAAGCAGCCGTGGAATGGGGACACGCTATCAACCATTCAAGAACCGAGCCTGGCCTCTTACGACCGGCATAGGTTGTTGAGTATTCTAACCCGAAATCCTCACGGGGCAGCTTTGTCATGAAAAAATAAAACAAGATTTTGAAAGTTTCAAAACATTAGCACAAGCAAATATTACTTTTCTTCTTATTAATTAAATAATCATTTTTTCACAATATCACCATATTATTTTAGCTTAATTTGTAGGAAATATTGCAGAAAACATTTTATTATTTAAGGTAAAAGACGTGACTTTACACTGTTTCCCTGAACACAAAAAAAGCCGAAACGCAGGTTGATGAGTTGAGGTGAAATGGGGTTTAACGTCGCGTCCAAGATTATTGCACTTATATAGCGACGTGCATGTACGTGTGTGTGTTTGTGTGGCTGCTTGTACTAGTCCGGACTGATGTCGATTTATAGTGCTAGCTCACTGAGATACCATGCCGCAGTTTAACATGAATACCCCACTCAGACACAGTATACTGACTCCGAGCCGACCTGTCCTTGTTTTAGCCCCTTAATGACGAGCGCCAGACAGGGTAACACCAAGTACCATCTTTTAACGTCTTTTGGTATGACGCGGCCGGGGATCGAACCCCGGACCTTCCGCTCTCCGGGCGGACGCTCTACCACTAGACCACGGAGGCGGTCCGCAGGTTGATGAACAAACACAGTAAACTGCAAACTTAAGACCAAAACACAACTATGATACCCGTATCATATACATATATAATCGAGTAACCATTTCGTGTATCAAGCATTTGTGTATAATTTATTTTGCCTGCAGTTTACTTAATTGCGTTGCCAACATAAGTGTTCAAAAGATGCGATTGAAGAAAAACATTTGATCAAAATGGTGAGTAAACGTTTAAAAAAACAACCTTAACAGCATATATATCTACATTAAAATAACCATTAGAAGCTTTTAGTAACAATCATGAAATAATTGAGCAAATAATGCATTGTTATTTTTAAGTTGGTGAATGATAACCCTTCGAATGTAACAAAAATGAAAATAACAGTGACAAACATGTCATAGTGTAAGAATGCTAGTAGTTTGCGACACATATAATGAACAGATCTTGAGATTAACTTAACTGCCGTGAAATACGTTGTACAAACGGAGATCCCTTCAAACATGATAATAATGATCATGATGATTAAGGATGTTTTTTATTCATTTATAATGTGCATAATGAACAAGAAAAGAATACTTGTCTTACCTTAGAGTCCAGTTTGCAAAAAATATCACAAAGGAGGACCTTCACAAATTAGTCCTTGTTTAAAGAGTGGTCCTTATCTTAAGCATTTTGCCATCACTGTGGCTGCCTGGTGTTTGAAAGATGTACTAAGCACGACAGGGCCTCTGTCGCTTATAAACTACTGCCTTTAGCTTCTAAGGAATTCCCACATCACAGAAGCCCAAGGGAGGCAACATCGCCGACATTTTCCAGTTAAATGTGTCAACACCACAACCTCAAATACGATTTTTACAATACGCTTTGCTCCGCCCCTACAGCGGTGACCTCCCTTCCTTCCTTAAGGTGGGGCGGCGAAAGTGTGGGTTTGCCCGAAGGACGTTATGTTATTGAATTGAATTTGTTAAAAGATGGTTTCAATTGTTTCATGTATATTTTATCCTTATTAGAAATACTTTATACATGTGTTATAAAAGTAAAGTAAATGTCAAATTGTGAATCTTTTTGCAGCCTAACAATTAAAACTTTTTTATGTCCGTGTCATGCTGCGATAACGACGGATGTCCAAATCAAGAAGGATTTTGACATATTCTAAATAACAGTTTAACCGGTAATATTAAAATGTGAAATAAGTTTAAAATATCTAAGGTGTAGCCCACACATGTACCTTATGAACTGATGAAGAATGAAGACGTACATAAAGGTTAATGTCAAAGGTCAGAGATCAAAGGGAAAAGGTCATGGGTGACAAGAACTTTAGGGGGCGAGTGTAGTGGTCATCAGTTCGGACAGTGTTTTTTTTCCTCTGACAATCCGACGCATAAAGGTGTCCTGTATATTAACATATACTCAACAACAAAAGTTCCTGTGACACCAATATTTTAGTGTATTTTTCAAACAAGTAAAGTTTGGTTTTCAGTATTGTAGTACATGTATGGAATCAAGTCACAAAAACGCAACTGCTACAGAAAAGCATGCATTCCATGCAAAAGTTGACTTTTATGCAAGCCCCATGCATTTCACTACCCAAGAATGGGTATAAAAACATGTGCGTTAACGGGATTCCATATGCATTGTTTAGCATCGTGCTGACAACAACCACTCAGACAAACAACAAAATTACGCAATTATTCAACATTACGAAATGCCACGCCTGTCCGAAAATGAGCGTCTGCGAGCCATTGGTATGCTTGAAGCAGGATCGAGTCAACGTGATGTTGCAAGACGATTAAACGTCCACAGAAACACCATTTGGTGTTTATGGCAACGTTGGCAACAGACGACTGCAGTCAGACCATCCTCGGAGTGGCAGGCCACGCGTAACCAATAATCGACAAGACAACTGGATTCGAACAACACACCTACGAAATCGATTCCAGCCAGCAACAGTGACTGCAAGAAGCATCCCTGGCCTTCGACGAAAATTTTCACAAACCGTACGTCGCCGCCTCAGATGTGCAGGGATTGTCGCCAGAAGACCCGCCAGACGTCCCATTTTGACAGGAAACCACCGTCAAGCACGTCTACAGTGGTGCAGACAGCGTCTACCCTGGACGGCAATGCAGTGGGGACAAGTTCTATTCACTGACGAGTCTCGTTTTCTCCTCAGCCACAGCGATGGACAGATTCGAGTGTACCGACGTCGAGGTGAACGTTACGTCAATCATTGTGTCATGGAAGAGCGAGCGTGCGAGTGAGTATGGTTTTACGCCGCTTTTAGCAATATTCCAGCAATATCACGGCGGGGGACACCAGAAATGGGCTTCACACATTGTACCCATGTCGGGAGTGTCATGGAAGAAGATCGGTTCGGGGGCGGCAGCGTTATGGTATAGGGTGGGATTACAGCAAGACAGAGGACCCGTTTGGTAGTGGTAGAGGTAAATTTCAATGGACAGCGCTACCGCGACGAGATCATCGGCCCTGTTGTTCTACCGTGTTTGCGTCGTCATGGCCCAGGCATTACCATTCAACATGACAACGCCCGGCCTCATATTGCTCGACTTGTTCAGGACACTCTTCAACAAAACAACGTTAATGTCATCCCCTGGCCGGCTCGCTCCCCTGATCTCTCACTAATCGAGCACATGTGGGATGAGATGGATCGGCGCCTTCGACGTCAACCACGTCTTCCACAGACACTCCAGGAACTGCGAAACATGCTCCAGCAAATATGGACAGATATCCAACAGGACTTTGTGCGACGCCTGGTCCATTCCATGAGACGAAGATGTGTTGCTTGCATGCAACCAGAGGTCGACACACACGCTATTGATTTGTAAATTGTCATTTCATGTTGTTTTTTTATGAAATCACGCATTTTCTGAAGTCAGTATGGCAAATTAAATCATTTGAACACTTACAGGACTCTTTTATCTTTAGCAAACCGAAATTGTATCAGATTTGGTAAAAAAACATAACTTTGCATTAAACCTTAGTCAATGTCACAAGAACTTTTGTTGTTCAGTATATATAAATATTCTTTGAAATAGTTGCTCGACGAGAATGTCACCTGTTGTCACGACATCGTATAGATTCTGTTAACGTCATCATGAACAAACACGACTGTCGTCTTAACTGAACTATACTACTCAATGTTTGAGACGGATACGTCATACTATTACCTATTAGTTATTCGTTACCTCACACATATGCATATTCGTGTTAACTAAATCTGGCGTGTCTTGGAATAATAGAGATACCCTTATCTAAAGTTGAACAGTGTATAATACGTGATACTTTGAGCTGCACTTTGAACCCACAGCAGGTTTGTCAGCACCATACCCGTGCTCGTGGGTTTCACCGAAGTGGTAAATGTCTGAGACCTGCATCACTTCGGGCTTTCCTCCCACATTGAGCTGACACGCCGCGATATACCTGGAGTATTGTTAAAAGCGGCGTTAAACCGAACTCACTCACTCACTCTGCAAGTCGTGGGGCATTTGGATACTGAAACGGTATGCGCACGTCATCTAGGCGTGGCCAGAGATATTCAGCTCCATGTCTGCAGCAAATTTCATTTAAAATTATCAAATAGGAATAAATATATTCAAAATTCATGCACTCCCAGTTAACGCTTACACTGACATAACTAATGTCATGGCTTGGTTAAAGTGACTTGTATATTTCTGATAACAGGACCGGCATTATTTAAGCCTTTTAGGGACATTTATAAATTTCAAGACACTAAGTTGAAATTTCAAGATGTTATGTTGAAATTTCAAGATAATAACTTGACATTTCAACTTAGTATCTTGAAATTTCAAGAAAAAAATAAAAAGACAAATGGCCCCAAAAGGCTTCTGTACCGACATCCATTGAATGGTTTAATTATCATGGTACTGAATACACAATGTTTACCTCTAAAATTAGAAAATAGGAACTTTTGAAAAATACAAACTATTAACTAAATATATTTTCCAATATGCCTGCAAAGGGCACTTAGTTTGGAATTCTGATAAATCCATGTGTTCATGGTAACAGGAAACAGTGGTACCAACACGTATTACAATCCAAGACGGTCATGCTTTCCTTCATATTCAATGCAGGTTAACGAAGACATGATTCAGGGTAAAGTTTTGGTAACGATGAATATGCATGAAGAGGGATGTACGATCAAATCGTGGAGACCTATTCTTCGCCGGATCTTCACACTCTCATACAACTCACTCACTCACTCTCTCATTTAACTCACTCACTGACTCCAGAGACATGGTCTCTCTCTCTCTCTCTCTCTCTCTCTCTCTCTCTCTCTCTCTCTCTCTCTCTCTCTCTCAATTCAAATGAGTACACATTGAGGAAAACTCTTATCATACGAGCCTAAAATACACTCGTTATAAAAAAATATAAAACTTTAATTAAACATCACCTGCTTGAAATAACCTTTACAAAAAACACCACACAACGCAATCGCTATAAACAACATTGTCGGACCAAAGGATGACCACGTCTCAAGTTGACCACATGGCGTGATAAACAATCGACAATTATTCCCGCAGAGAGACCTACCAGCAAGCCCATGGGGGTTCACCACAAACGCCTCGGCTATGCACGAGTTGGGACTTATTCGAGTTGGACTGTTCCCTCTAATTTCCCTGACCATCGCTGGCCTGGGCGCGGCCATGGTAAAACACATTTGACTTGGAAACAGAAGGCGGATGGAAGTCGAACTGTTCCAAACGTGACTTTACCGAATTAGAAAGGTTTTGAAATTCATCAACGATACACTAAACGGAACCGTGTACTTTAAAACGTTTGAAGTGGTTTGAAGATCGTTTTTCACTCTTCAGGTGTACTCCGATTTCCGTGGAGAAGTTCGATGTGTTGTGTAGCCGAGGTTCGCATCTCCATGCTAATGGTCTGTGTAAATATTTTGATGTTTGGGCTCAGTGGAAGGAAATACTCGTAAACAAGACATTATCCAAAAACAAGAGGCCGACATGCTTTTGATGACGTTGTAGGATTATTGTGGGATGCCAAATATTCTTTTTAAATGTTACTTTTTAGTCTTTTATGGTTTTTTTACATTTTACATTCGTTTGTATTTCATGAAAGTCAAACAGCTTTTTTTGTTTTTTCTTTATATTTTTATTCATGCTGTCTTAAAACAACAGCTTGAATTGGATTCAAAAGGGATATGTCTACGCGGAAATACACAGTAAAAAATGTATATCTCAACAACTTGCCGTTTCCTGTTAGGACATTTCTCGGTAACTGTGCGCATGCCTAAAAGCCGAATTATCTGTTCTGCAAAACTGCTGAAAAATGTTTCCTTTCTGTAAGACAAACAACAACTAGTTGTTAAATACAACATTATCGTTTTGTCACGCAACATGTAGTTATATAGTGGGCAAAAACATATTATAAACCCTAGTCTGTTGCAGTGTCTATATGGATATACAAGCTCCTGTCGTTCAAAAATCATAAAAATAAAGTAAATGTTGTATCGTCGCCTGTCTGCCGTAGTCATGTTCTACTCAAAAGAAGATGCTCGTACGTTCTTTTGAGTAGTGTTTTAATGATAGTCAGCAGGTCACATATTGTGACCATCCGATCCTCATTTCCCGCCTGTCAACCGTCGTAGTGTAATGTAAATACACACATTCATGCACTGACACATGTAAATACAAACATGCGCACACACACACATACACATGTACATGCACACACACACGTGTGAATACAAACATGCGCACACACACACAC